AAAAATCACTAACGAATACACCTAACCGATTAATTGACAAAACAATAAACCTATTAATAACCCAATTAAAATAAAACAAGTATGGAATAAAAATATTAAAGATCTTTTAATGGATAAGAACGGAAACAACACAAATGATAACGAGGAAGTTCCAATAATATTAAAATCTGAAGTCCAACATGCTATAAACAACTCAAAATCTGGCATAGCCCCTGTTCCAGATAAAATTCATATCGATCTGATTAAACTTACCTATAGACGAAGACAACTTAAGTGCAATAACTATACTGTTTAACAACATATACAAATCTGGTGTAATACCTACAGAATGGCTGCTATCGACCTTTGTTCCGATACCAAAAACCAAGAACCCCAAACACTGTAATGACTACAGATTAATCTATAGAGAAAAGGACTCAACAAAAATGACAAAAACAGATAAGTAGGGGAGTGAGACAGGGCTGTGTACTTTCACCATTACTATTTAATATATTATATCCCGAAGAGTTATTTACGCAAGCACTTGAAAACTGTACAGAAGGGATGAAGATAAATGGTGAAAATATAAATAACATTTGTTATGCTGACGATACAGTCATTATCGCTGAAAGTGAGACAGACCTACAGACGTTACTAAACACAATTTGTGATGGGGAACAGTTTGGTTTACCAGTAAACATAAAGAAAACAAAAACCATGGTTATCAGTAAGAGGATCAAAGTCATTACAAGGATCCAGATAAAAGTGAAGAAATTAAGCAAGTGGACAAAATGTAATACTTAGGAGTGCGGATTACGGAAGATCTGAATCCAAAATCAGAAAATCGCTCAAGAATCCAGCCTTTTTGAAGATGAGGAAATTTCTGAGTAACCAAAGACTTAATCTGCAAATCCGATATCGGATGGTATAATGTTATATCCACTCTATTCTTTTTTATGGTATCGAAACCTGGAGTATTAATGTTGACTTAATGAGAAAATTGTAAGCTTTTGAGATGTGGTTTTTAGGAGAATTTTGAAGATACCATGGACCAATCATATTACGAACAAAATGGTGTTGCACAAAATGGGAAGAAACAGACTACTTTTGACCACCATTAAAAGACGAAAGACAGCATATTTGGGGCATATACTTAGAAATGATAAGTACGAGCTCTTGCAGCTGATGATGAAGAGTAAAAACGAAGGAAAAAGGGGTCCTAGTAGAGGAAAAATATCCTGGCTGAAAAACATTCACAACTGGATCAGGTTAAACACACATATGCTCTTAAGAAAACCAGATAATACTTAGGTAACCGACAAAATTTTAACAGAAAGCAGTATCTATTAATGTTTCTTAAATTTTTTTTATCTTGTTTTACATACATTGTATCCACTGTGAATATACACGCGATTATGATTTAATACCATTTAATAATATCCCTACTCATTTAAAGAAGTATATTATTAAAGATGCGAATTCTGCAATAGAGCATCGGGCTATTAATAAAATGAAGAAGACCCAGATGCCCATTTTAAAAATTATACCTAACCGAAATGATTGCCTCTCGTAAAAATAATATGCAAAACAGTATGTAATTTTAGTGTCTGTGATTCTGACCACTGCATGAAATAGCTGCTCAAAGTTCTAAACTTTAATAAGGACCAAAAATGCATTCGTGCCAAGAGATTATGTACTATGCGTTTTTGGACAACTTAAAAACATCTATTACTATTTTAGAAAAATTACCAACTTTTTTACCAAATTCTAGATTCATAATTTTTAAATTGCTATATGATATAGGAATATGTATTACTCTTACGAGTTAATATATCCTATATACATACTTCACGATACTCTTAGTATCTTACTTAAATATATATTTAAACTTTATTTTTAATAGAGATTAAGGGGGCAGCTAAATACATTTTTCAAAAGTACTTTATAGCAAAAAGTCGTTATTATTTGAGTATTATTTATTTTCGACAGTTTGTCAATGTCTCCTCAACTATATTTGTTCCTTTTTAACAAATTAAATAAACATATAGTCTTCTGCAGGTCATCATGCAGGGTAGAGTCGACGGCAAAAAGGGAATATGTAGAAAGAGGAAGTCATGGCTGCTAAATACTGGACAAACATAACTATAGATGAATTATTTCAAGTTGTAAAATTTTAGAAATGTGGTCTCCAACCTCCGTTAATGGGGACGACATAGGAAGAAGAAGAAATAAACATAACTTACATGAAATAGTCTTCATTAAGCTGCTTAAATAACGACAATAATATCCATCCAACCATGACAATACTGAACTTTAAAACTAAAGACTTAAAAGGTATATCAACTCAAATAATTGATTTTGTAGAATCACATTTGTGTTGCATATATAATCAAATTGCTACGAATGATTTCATAATATCGGTGAATACACTGTGACCGCACAGTCTGAAAATTATGTTGTTGATTCATTTATTAAAAATCAAAGTCGTTATCTTCATCGTTTTTTCATAGTGCAATTTATAAAAATATATTTGTGATTCCACAGATTCAACAAACCGTATTTAAAAGTGAAGAGATATTTAGAGAAACTGGAAAAATATTCTGTGAATTATAAAAAAAGAAAAACGAACTATAAAAACAACACAACCAGACGAATCTAATAAGACACTCACCTACACATTTAAGTTTAGTATCCTCATAAATATAACGACAATAAAAATCATCTAATAATATATTCAACTGATATCAATAATTTAAATCAACATTTTCTGGTAACACATATTGAATTTGCATCTATATTCGAATCGATATGGTTGGTTTCGTAATATTGGTGAATGCACCATGACCAAAGAAACCACACTATGAAATTCATTTTGTTGATAATGTTTGATTAAAAAAGGTACTATCAAATTCATTATTTTTATCGCTTTTTTTATTTTAAACGTATTAAAATTGATGATGTTTCTATCTGCTTTGAAAAATATTTTTGATAACCATTTTAGCATACGATTATTCATTTTAAATAAACTAATATGTACATCGTTAATTAATTTTGGTGTGGTTCTTTCATAGAAATTAGAAAATTGTTTAGAAAATATATTTCGAACCATATTTATTTATATCGGTGAACTGAAAAATATTTTCATAAATTTTTTAAAAGTTCGATAGTTTTGGCAAAAGATATTGACTAGCTATGTATAATTATTGCGATATTTATAAGAGCGACGGTACATGATATTTTCACCAGATGGACAAAAATTGTTTTTAGTACTTTCTGTCTGAAGAAAGCCGCGGTTTCCTTTCACATAACTATCTATTAGAACATGTGTCATCAACAGCGTCAAAATTACTGCCGCAATGACTTTTAAAGTCATTATTATTGTCAATCTACTTAATGATATTACTTAAGCTACCACGGCTCTTTAATGAAGAACCAGTTGCTGTACTATGACTCTTCACTTATTTTGAAATAATAGCTGTCTTCTACCGTTATCATATTCATAGAGTTGATCAATTTTTACTTTTTTTTACGATAATAATTTTTATTTCCCAATAACGTATTCCTCTCGACAGAGCTATCAATTGTTCAACAGTGAATAACCGCTAAAAATATTATCCTCGCGATATTTTTTCTTTTAGTATATTATTTCAAGCGTCTGATTCTTTTATTTATTTTTATTTATTTCGCGATTTGCAGTTAAAGTCCCAAATTTGTGATCTGCTGTTTACTCAGTTGTAACAAATTATTTGAGTTATAAATTAGAATTTCGGGCGTGTTTACACAAAGATGTCAGTAAATGTTTTGCGTTTTCGATTTGTTTCTGTAGCGATGTGTAATTTTTCTTCTCTTCTGTTTTTTTGCGATGGTTTTAATAAGTCTATGTAGCTACATGAATTCCCATGAATATATAGGTACATTTAAAATATATTTAATGGTTGAATAGAGGTTGAACAGAGGTTTTATCGGTCAATAATTGGCAAATGACTATCTACAAAAGTCGTCAACTACTTCATTGATTTATTCGAATACGTTTCGCTTTTATTTTTAAAAGCATCATCAGTTCACTACAAATAAAAAAGATTTTGGAATATAAGTAAACAATCAATAGGGTTCATACTTACAAAAACAATTTGTAGGTATTTTCAATGTTATAAAAACTCTAAGATAACTTAACATTAAAAATTAACAACTGAACGAGAAAAACGAAACAAACAATACAAGAAAAACTGTAAGAGCACTATTGTTCATTTAATTTTGACCGATGGCTTCATTTGAATGTTGGTTTAAGCTCTTTCGAGGGATATATATATATATATATATATATAAATGATATATGTATATGAGAATAAAACTAAACCAAGTCTGGCCGTAGCAAGTTTTAAAATGTTTTTGGTACTGGTATTATTTTTATTCTAATTATTTCTCAACTTTTAATAGTATTCTGTTTACTGACGATAGTCTAAACCAAAATTTATCTTTCCTAGATTAAGTATCAAGGGAAATTTATTGGTTCGATCTTCAAACCTGTAAGAAAAATTTTTCTAACAGTGGATAATGACTTATGGATACTTCTATATACTTGGATATTTACCATTTTTATTACATAATTTTGTTTTGTAAATAAAGAAGTATTTAATTTTGTAAATAAAAACAAAACAATCTATTGGTTTGTTCACATAGGTATTTTGCATATCTAGCTGTAAATAGCTTTTGTAATAGTTATTGTGATATAACTGAAAAGCAATTTCAAATATTTTATGACTAGTTTTATGAGCATTTTTATTGATACTATATTTGTTCTCAACGATTTTGATTTGTCTCACGTAAGAATGCGACAATAAGTTTAAAAATATAAGTTTATATTAAGACCTGCAATGTTGTGGTAGCTTTTCTGTGATAGTAAATGACAACATTCTAGTAAAATTGTAATTTTGGGATTTTTTGGAAATGCTGGTGGTCAGAATTTAGCATGTTATTGAATAAAATAATTACCGGTGAATGAAGAAAACTAAGTGACATACCCACAGGATAAGTCCAGTTGCAAATTAGGCACCGGTACACCCAAATCCATGCAACACTGAAACTTCACAACACTAAAACAAGAGAGGCGGCAAATATCGAGATGCAAGGCTTATTTCACCCGAGAGTCACAAAATAAACGCCACCGATGTCATACGTCGCAACTAACTGCACCGATTCGGGAGCACTGTTTCTGAAGAGATGTCGCATAAGCGAGCCGTACGTCCAAAGGGGTGGGGATAACAGCGTGCGCACTAGAGGCGGGGCTTCTTCTAAGGGGGGTTGACAAGGTGGACGTGGAGTGTAGGTGACGATACCCCTTTGGAGGGACATGCTATACCCCCTCTGTCTTACGAGCTGTTCAGTGCTACATATACATTTACACTAGACAAGTAAAGGCTGCTTCTTTATCTTAAAGAATCTATATTACATAGGTAGAAGTACAGGTAAAAATTTTTTGGAGAAAGTGCTAGTCCATTCTCAATTATCTGCTGTGAGATATTGACTTTTCACTTAATTCGTGGGTGGTAAATTGGTTGATTCAAGTGCGAAATCTTAATATCTCATTAGAAGTTAATATACTGCAAAATTATATTTTGTTTTTTATGATACCCAACTTAATTAGTGCACTTAATTGTATATTCATTGTAAATCACTAAAATTAGGATTAAAATCGGAAGCTGTTGGATATTTCTGCAAAGATGCTCTCCCTTTCTATTACTGCTGCTTATATTACGCACATTATAAATTGTTGTTTGCAGGTAGGTTATTTTCCGGACATTTGGAAAGACGCTTTGGTAAAACCACTGCTCAAATAAACCAGAATCACTTAATAATCTCTCCCAATAAGCATTCTACCGGGGGTGTCAAAAATGTTCGAAAAGGTTATTTGAGGCTATGAGAGCCAGAGTGGGCTAACCCCAAATATTGAATAATGGATTTACATGAACTAAGAATATATCTACGCGATTTTTTGAAATTTTATAAAATTAAAATATGACGCCAAAAGGTAGTCATTGTTTGCAAATCATTAACTAATAACAAAAAACTCGATAATCTTGTAGTATATTTAACAAAAATATAAAAATTTAAGTTTTATTTGTGGATTAGACCGCTTTTGCATCAGTGTGCCCTTAAAAATTTTAATAGGAATGTGGATTAGACCTGGAGTACAATACAATTAAACAATATCAGTGTTGAAAATATGCTTTATTAAAAAACAAAGTAACAAAAATACTCAATCTTCATTGTTAATTAACTCTTCTTCTTGCTGTATAGTGGATCTTATTGTTCTGGTGCTTGTGTAAAATCCATGATGTATTGAATGTTTAAATGAAAGTAATTTCAAAAGACCTTTGACCATTGGACTTTTGATTTGCGATTTGTTATATTTTTTTCTCAATTCTTAGTAGAATAAAAATCGTTTTCTGTCATCTTTATTACTGTAAAATGTGCTTTCTTTCGTGCATGTGCTATTACCTTTATCCAGTCGTCAGGTTATCTTTAAAAAAATTTTGCTTACTTATTACTCCGAAATCTTATTCACAGGCAAGGTAAGAATTTCCGCTGACTAAAAACTTATGATCAATATTTTTCACCACAATATCAGGATGTATATATAAATATATTACATTTTTGTAATAGGGAAAAATGTAAATATATTACATTTTTTGTTGCAACAACATTTTTAAAATAATGCAGTAAACAGGATCCTATTTCTTGAGGTCCTTCGTGATGATTGTGTCTCATTCCAAACATACATATGAGCATTATTAGTAGCCAAATTCTGGACTCCTAAGACGTAAGTCCACAACTGGCGTTTATAGTAAGAAATTCCAGTGCTGATAACTGGTGTGGGCAACGTTCGGATCAAGTCAAGTTCGCATCAAATGCAATCACTGTAATGTCTTCAGGATTTTGTTTTGCATATTCTGCATCTTGTTTCATACCACATCTAGCACGGTCTGCTTTTCGTTGGTGAACCTCTAGTGCTACTTCAAATTCACATTTTTCTGCTTTCTAGTACTTCATAATTTTCAAATCAAAATATTCCGAAAACGGTACACAGTATCGAGTTTTACCAAGAGTACCTTTTTCGTGTAAAATTGAATGATGTTTAAGTTTACTTGAAATTTTGATTAATAATTATACTGTTAAAAAAGTTATATTGACTAATACTTAGTACGATCTGTGTAACTAGCACCCTCTATCAGAATCAGATATAAAAACAAATTCATGGGATGTAACAGCTTACAAAACATATTCGTATAAAATTTCATTGCAATGTTGCCAGTAGTTTCGGCAAAATCGTAAAAAATGCTTAAAATTTTTTTTCTTCAACGCCCTGTATCTTGAAAACGGATGGCGTTACAAAAATTTTTTACTAAGCAAACCCCAATTAGTTTTCAGTTTTTTACCTACCCTAGAGATGGGGTTTACCTTTTTTGAAACACCCTGTATAGTATATTGTCGTTATTGTTACCATTAGATATTTTTGTTTTTATTTATCATTCATATCATTTATCATATAACATCACAAATAATTTTCTTTATATTATTTTTCTAGTAGCCACATGACTATTTCTATCATTTCAATATTATATTATTTTATTATTTATGTCAACTTATAAATCACTTTTTTTCATTTTCTAATTATTTCAAAATAACTTTGTAAACTTGAAGTTAAGTGGAGTAGCTCTGACAAAATGACAAAAAATACACTTCATAGACATAATACAATTACATATCTCGAGTCAAATCATTCAATTAATGATATTAACTAAAATTAGTAGACTTGTATAATATTTTAAAACGTCCAAATCAATCTTGGTCGTTATTGAACATATACTAATCAATTCAATCTCTAACCAACCTCAATAATTTCGTAGTGCTATCAATAAAATACAAATCAACATTGCAGTTACTATTTTTTGTCCTATTATATACATTTTTTAATATCTTTTTGAATTCCAAAATGGCTGTCGGTCTAAAAATCTAAACATGAAATTATTTATTTCATTTTCAAAGGTTTATCCTTAAAAAAAAAACTTGAAAAATTTCTGATGGCACGAATAAACAGATCCAGAACGATATTTAGGTATATCATATACTGATATAAGAGAACACACAGATTTTATGCGCATAGTGTTTCATCAGGAACATTATTCTGATCCGTTTAGAGCATCTTCGAGATTTACAGGTATTTTATAGTTATGATTTTAGATTTTGCTGAAAATGAAACTTACTGACATCAACCAAACAAGTCTTCTTGGTTATTGTTTTGGCACACAAACTTTCTGCGCCGTAGGTCATCACTGGCAAAATATACTGATTACATACTTTTCTTTTCAGACACATTGGAATCTTAGTCCTAAAAATATCCTTCATCTTTCCAAATGCAGCCCAAGCGAGGTTTATTCTTCTTTTCAGCTCGATTGTTTGGGTGTCTCGACTTATTCTGATCTCATGGCCCAACTATTTATAGGAGTAGACTGGCTCAATATTTTTGTCTTCTACTGAGATGTTTTTGTTGTGGACTAAATTTGTCATAAATTGTGTTTTTGAAAAAATTATTTTAAGACCAACTCTTTTTGTGGAGTATGGAGTTCTTGGAACATTATTTGTAACTGATCAAAGCTGTCTGCAATAAGAACATATTATAAGAGCAGGTTACAATTATAGGACATGGAAATTCGATCACTCAATATAATTTCTTTATATTAATTAAATTTGGTATAGTTACAGGCTTATGTTGGTAAAACTAATAAATGATTAAAATTTCAACCATATCAGTTTAGGATTTCGTTTTTTTTTCTCTCAACCATTTTATTCATTGGCTAACCACTAAAAATTTTAACTTTTATGTTAACTACTGATCAAAATTTAGCAGTGTGCAGTTCTTGATTTTTTTGAAAGTCGTTTACAATGCCTAGAGTTCGAATACCTTCAAATTTCCATCAACTGGCAGAGTTTGATAGGAGGCGGATAGTTGGTTTAAGAAAAATTGGAGTAAAGATGTTGTCCGGGATGGCGTCAAGAAGACCGATCACGAAGATTTAGTTGTAGAGGACGACGCCGAAGAACAACCGAGCATCAAGATCGTCGCCCAAGGTTGATGGTTCTAAGAGATCGCTTCTCCACTACCAGTTCTATTTTATGTCAATGATTTGTAGACCAATTGAGATGTTTTAGCATTTTTTTATTTTAGCAACACTGGGTGCTACCTCTTACCCCTTGAACATCGACCTAATCGTCTTAAATAATGGTACTGAGATTGATTTATTTGGGACCAGGAATGGAATGGGGCTGTCTTTATTGATGAATCTCGATTCTGTTTAGAGATGTATGATGGCCGAGCCAGGATCAGAAGATGACGTGGTAAAAGACGAAATCCACAGTTTTGGTGTAGGGTGCCGTTGCTTGTAGTTCAAGGTCACCTCTAATCTTCTTCAGAGATAATATGATAACTCAGCAGTAGTTAAAAGAAATTCTGGAAATTTATCTTATATGCAAGGCTACATATTGGGGGAGTCACCATGAACATCTTTGGCCGATTCCCAGCTTTATTCCGAATTGAACGGGTGTGAGACATGATGAATCGGAGACTACTTAATTTAGAGCATCCTCTACATATGTTGAGTCCATTTCTGGAGGTGTTATTAAAACGTGGTACCCCAGGAGGATATTGACCACGTACCTAATCAGAAGCAAGCCCAAGCATATCCCAGAATGTATTTACTTTCTGATTTACCTACTGATTTATTCCTGTAAGTTGTTTCAACAACTTGAACGAAGATACGTGCAAAAAACTGGAAGCATTTGAGATGTAGCTATATCGGAGAATACTTAAGATCCCGTAGACTGGCCGAGTCACAAATGAGAAGGTCCTCAGAATAATGAATAAGAACCGAGAGGTACTGACCACCATTAACTCTCGAAAGTTACAATTCTTCGGATATATTATGCGAAATGAATCCATATATGCTCTCCTTCAAGCCATCCTGCAAGGAAAAACTATTTGGAAAGCGAGGTCCAGGAAGAAGAAGAACATCTTGGTTAATATGTATATTAATATCTTGCATAATGTGTTAAACTAATGATGCAACAAAATTCATTTGATTTGAACGTACTCAAAAGTTTGGGGGGATTTAGGGCTGCACACCCCCCTTAAAATGTTTCTG